GATAGGGTATTTGCATCTTCCTAATACTTTGGTTGTGATTTTTTTTCTTTTATTTTGTCTGAAAGAAAAGGCAAAAGTGATAAGGAAAGTGCAGAATATGTGATATGTACTCTGAATCTAAAATGATCAGCAATGTAGAGCTCAAAGTTTGTAGTCAACCAGCCTTCATTGGCATATATCACGTAGAAACTTGCTGTTCTGGTGTATCAAAAGATACAAGAGAATGAATGTAATTACCAGATAGGTAAACATCAGAACATCAAATAAGAATAGTAAGAAGATATTACTGCTTAGCGTGACAGACACTGTCACTAAAATATTTTGCTTTAGTTTTTGGTATTAATTTCTACAAAAGATGCTGAAAGCTTGGGAACAGCTCTGAAAAGAGCTAAAAGAATGATTAGAGTTAAAAAAAACCCCCCAAGATTAAACAAATTAATTTATCAATAACAAAGGTCAGACCATTAGTAAGTTGCTTATTAATTAATCTGCACAAGGAAGACATTTCTGTTAGTAGACTATCCTTTAACCTAGGAAAAAAGAGATAATGAGAAATAGTGGCTGAAGCTGTACAAATTTAAACTAGTAATAAGAATAAAGATTTTAACCAGGGGGATCAGTAACCATTGGAGGAATAGCATAGTTTTCAACTTTTTTTTCAATTTGTGATTTCTGAAATGTTTTTTGTTAAAGACTGTGCACTGCTTTTCATCAAATGTTGTTCTGGTGACAACGTGCTTGCTTTTCTTTGTTACCTTTCCCAGATCTCCAGATGTCCACAAACAAACCTAAGGACATGAGTCCTTCATTGCTAAAAGTCACTAAGTGCAAATGAACCCTTTTCTGAAAAGTTTACGTAAACAGGTCAGATTTTTGGGTGTAGAAATTATTGGGTAGGGTCCCATGGCATGTGATACACACAAATATAACTACATTCTTCTAATGGCCTCTCCTCCTCCTCAAATGCATTCATATTTGTGGGGGAAGGAGGTTCCCTCTTTACTGACAAAGTACTCCATGCTATCACACAAAGCTTCTCCTCTCTGCTCCTTATTTCAGGTCTCTCAGTCAAGACCTTCTTAATTTGCTTTTGATACTTCCAGGGTATTCTATCCCTCCCCCCCTTTTTTCTTCTTTAAATTGAGTTTCATTTTGGGTCAGTTGTTATTTCTGGGTTTGACCAGGAATTTTCACACCCAGAATGTCACTTCAAGGTGAATACTTACTGTGTTTGGAAGAGATTAGCTCCAGGATGGCATAACTATTGTTATTTTGTCTATAAGTAGACTATCAGATCCTGCAAAGAAAACTCTCAAATTTTCTCTTCAAGGTACATAATAAAGCAGAAATACAAATTTTGAAATGAAGTGTAAGTTAGATTTGAATGAGAAGCAGTTCATATTGCTGGGCAGGTGGTAGAATTTTGACTACCTTCATTGAAGTTTGTGTAACATGGAAAGCACATTTCATTTACAGATGGAGATTCAATAGGAACTCAGCTGCTGGCATCTGAACTTTTGTTTCATACTACCCTCCCCTTCTGAAGGGCCAGACACGAAATAGACTAACAACAGGTACTTGGCCAACGGGTACAAACTCTAGAATGGACTCGCCTCCCTTATTTATCTTGTTTTAGTTAGAAATTACTGACCTAATTGGCTTTCCTTTCCTACTGGTAAGTAAACCTGTAGTATTTGTACCTTTGTTCATCATGCTTTACACTGAAAGGCAGGTACACTTTAATTGCCAAGATAAACTGCTGTCAAGTTCTGTGACTCAGCGAGTACATTGGGTACCTTTGCTACTAGGGCAGTGCAAGAAGTAGATAAGCAAAGAAATCTTTCATATCAGTGATCAAATGTATATGTTCCAGTTGTCAGAAAAATAAGAGTTAAATGCTGATGGAGTATGTGGTGCCATTACCGCTTTAAAACCAAAAATATCACAGTTTCTTCACAGATTGGAAGCAAAGAAAAAAAATCAGTTCTCCTTCTAAAGCTTTTCTTGATATGTTTCTTCAAATTTGTTTGTGTAAGTGAAGCTGTGTGGTCTTATATATAACCTTCCAATCAGGTTTGGGTATACTCTCTGAACAGCATGTCTCACATGAATGCCTCGTTATAAAAAGATGAAATAACTGAGTGTAACTCCTATCTTTAATCTAATTTGTCTTTGGTGCCATACATGTTAAAACCTCCATATTGTATAAATTAATCTGATAAATGTAATTTTTCTGTAAGTGTGCAAGAATATCTGAAATTCCATATGCAGTTAATAGTCCAAACATTTGGAGATGCATAATAATCTCATTTATTATACTGATTTTTTTGTTATGTACAGAAAGGCCCATGGGCCTTGTACAGGTTTGGTCTTGCAAGCAGTTTCAAAATGCCATTCATCTTTACATGTATTTCTTGACACAGCAATTCTAAGCTGGTGTTTCTTACTTGTGCAGTGCTTACCCCATAAGCATGTTAAAAAAATATAGCCAAAAATAATACAAACCCTTTGAGTATTATACTACTCAGGAGTAGTTGTAGCAGCTTTTCTCTTTGACTCTGCTAGTTAAATTTTCACTGGAAGATAATGAAGCTTCGGTAATATGCTATTAAAACCGGATGTGCTTAGCTAAAAAGAAGTATTTTATAAGTTTGTTTTGCTAGCCTGTAGGTGGAAAGCACAGTTGAGATCACACTTCTCAAAATATCAGTTGATTGCTGTACAGTACCTGTTTGTCTGTTTTCTGATTGGGTAGAACTGTTGCTGGGCTGATACTGTTTTGACCAAAATTAGAAAGTCAATATAAACGAGTCAAACTAGACTGCCTGCTTTTTTCAGTTCTCTCTTCTGATTCATCAGTTGTTTGTTTCAAATTCTTACAGCCTTTGTGAATTGGGGGTTGTGCCAGCAGAGGTGAAAGCTCTTGGTGGTTAGTCAGTAAGAATGTTCATAAATATGTGTCTTGATGACATTTAGATGCTAGCAAAAATATGATGCCTAGTTAAAAAAAAATGGAAGTGGGTCCTATGGAGTGATCATATTAAATACATGGATGCGAGAACCTATTCCTCACTTAGGAGACTGCCTGCTTCTCATATTCATATCAAGAAGATAGCATTCATCTTCTTGACCCTAAGAGGATATTACTGCCAATGTCTTGTCTTCAGGCTTAAGACCTGAAACTTGTTGATGAAGGCATGTATGAAAGAAGGATTCACTGCTTACACATCTTTTTTCCTTCAGTATCAGTATTGGTCCAACTTTAACAAGTTGGACTGTGCCTGGTTAACTTACGTTATTAATACCATTAGAATATCTGTGAATATAACTATTACATTTGAAGAAAAACAGCATGTAAATTGTTAACAAAATTCTAGGTTAGTGCAAGTACAGCAGCTTAGCAGCTAAGGGTAGATGGCTGTGCTGTACTTGAAGAAATGCTGTTACTTTACCTGTACTGTTAAGATGAAGCTATGGACTTTTCTTCTTGGAAATGAGTAGGTTTTGATGCAAGTGACAGAGGCAAATGTTTTAATTAGTTTATACTTGAAGTTAGTTCAGACTTTCAGAGTTTTTTTTTTCTTCTTCCATAGAGGTGGGTAAGAAAAAGATGGGGATGTTGTTGAATGCCATTCAGTTAGGATCCACTAGTCTTGCCAAAAAAAGGCTATTTCTCAGTATGTCCAAAATGAAGCAACAAGAAATGTAATTCTATATCCCACTGAAGGGCAGGGATAGAAAGTGCTTTAAGAGAGCAACTTGGTTAAATCATAAGATCTCAAGATACTGTATAAAAATAGAAAGTAGGTCTCATTTAGCAACGATAAGAATAAAAGGGTAGCAAGAACACGTAAAATCAAAATCAGAAAAAAACAAGGCACAAAATCCTACTAGAAAGGGACATAAAAAGAAACAAGAAAACTTTCTATAGTACATTAATAGTGAGAAGATAGTAAGGAAATAATTGCTGCACTGTTCAGAAGAAGATGAGAATTGACAGATGCCACTGTGAATAGTGGAGTGTGGAATGCCTTTTTTTGATTCTTTTTCTGAAATGGTGAAGGATGATCAAATGATTAGTCTCTACTTCAGCCCGAGTTCCTTTATCACTAAAAAATGAGCTGGAGCATATGTAAGTGTCTTCAAACCAGCTAGGCCTGATGAAATTTACCCTTTGGTGCTTACAAAAGGACAGAAAGGGTAATGTCTCTGGGATTCTTGAAAAGTTATGTAGGACTGCAAGGTTGTAGGGCACCTGTCTTTAAAAGGAGAAAAAGAAGGAATTGGGGAATAACAGACCGTTCAGTTTAGATTACATTTCTGGTAAAAATCTGGAACAAATAGTTCAGCTATCTGTAAGCAATTGGACTTAACAAGGAAATGAGCAAGTGCTATCATGGATTTAACAGTAACAGATCAAGGGGAAGTAGTTTAATCTCTACGATGGATAACAGGCCTAGAGAAGAAGAGAAGATGGTGGTCTTTGGCCATCACAACTGACATTTGCTTATCTGAAAGATTAGTAAGCTGTGGCCCATATGATTATTCTAATATGAAGTGCTGTTTTGAGATGTTTTAAGATTACTGTAGGCCTGGTAAAAATAGATGACCTATACTAAGTATATCCCGTTAGTAATTACCCCAATGCTATACTAGTTCTGTCAGATGTTTTTGATTTCTTCTGTAAACGAGGTTATGAAAAATAGTAGCATAAAAATTATTTCTAGTTGCTGTATTTGGCATTCCTTCCATTGTTCTGGACCTGCTATTAACTGAATTGTGAAGCAAATTAAATATTATCTTCTGTTTAAACAGCTAATAGCTTCTGATGTTTTCTGTGTAATATGGTTTATTTATTTTATTGCAGGATTTGGTTATCCGTATCATCTTCATTCTTGGTAATTTAACAGCAGAGAATAACCAGGCCCGTGAGCAATTTTTTAAAGCAAAAGGAAGTGTTAACACCTTGATGTCATTATTCCAAACCTACTATGACCTTGATTTGAATGCACAAAAATGGTACCATGAAAGAGGAGGGGAAGGAAAAACCCACCCAAAGCATCCTTCAGAAGCAGAAGATGTTCTGATAAAACTGATAAGAGTGCTGGCCAATCTCTCCATTCATCCCAGCGTAGGAGCAGCTCTGGCAACTGCCCATTGTGTTGTAGATTTACTTGTTACAGTACTAGGTAATAAAATCTATGTTGTGTTTGTTATCTTTGTTCAGTATGTAAGGAGAGGGATTTTTCTACTTGACCTTCTTATCTAAGTTGAGCCATAACTAAATCGGTTCCATTGCTAAAATAACAAAGTCAATCTGCTGATATTCATAAACTTCTATGTAGAAAGCCTGTTTGAGACAGTGGAAGCATTGCTGCTTTGGTACTGACTTTTCAGTGTTTGGGGAAAGATGTTGTAGAAGTGTTTAATTCAGTGATCAGATTTGCAGATATGATCATTAAGGATAAGCAAACAACTTTTATTTTAAATACATCTCACTGAGAGTTCATGTATAAGTGAAGTCTGTTCTTATCAGGTGCTATGTAGATGTGTTTGGTGATTTTTTTTTTTTTTTTTTTTTTTTAAGGTTTGCAGTTGCAGGTTTTGTGACGGTTCTGGATTAAGTATTCTTTTTGTTCCCTGCACCCATAACTTTCAGCCTCCTTGAAAAATTTCCTCTTATTTTTCCTTCTTTTTCAGATTTCCAATCTTTATCTCTTTCAGGTGGAAGAGAGTGTCCCTTTCCTTCCAAACGGAGGCTTAGGACTGCAGTTCCTTTACCACTTACTAATCCCTTTGTAAATCTAACTACAGGCTAGGACTGGGCAGTCTGTTCTTCCCATAACAGAGTTTAGCAGTGACAAGATATATCTCAAAGAACTCAGTATATTTTAGTGTGTGATGAGAGCATTAGATATTATGTAAAGACAATCAACTTGATTATATGCTAGTTTACCAGTTTTACCCACCAGCCATGGGGGATTAGAGAAGGCAGACTCAAAACTTTGTCTGTTCTGTCTTAAGCCCTGTAGGAGCTTCCTGGGTTGGAACTGTCTTAAGCATTGTGTAAGCGCTTTTGAGCCTCAAAGCTTCTCTCTGCCACCCTCCCCTCTTATTGAGCACTGTATCAGTTAGTTTACTACAAGATGTTCTCTCTCCCTATGAACTTACCCCTCTTTTATTTCCTTCACTCTTGGTTTCTGAGCCAGAAACCTCAGATAAATTGGTATATACAACTTTCAGACTTGCTGGTGTAATTTTACAGTGGTTAACATTCTGTCAGGAACTCTAAGAGAGAGAATCTTTCAAATATTGTTAAAGAAGTCTTTGGGTGTTGTTTTTTTTTTTCCCTTTCAATTTTTCATGGTACCTGACATTTCAGTATAATAGTCCATGTTATTTCTCTGTGTCTATCACACGGGCCTATTTCTGCATGGGGGTTCTCCTCAGTTCCATCTTAAAACAGCAAATAGGATCTGTAAAATGTCTTAACTAACTAGATTTTAAACCATGTTGCCTTAGTCACAATGTTTTCTGTAGATGAAGAGTGGGAAA